CCTATTAAAGTCATCCTGTTCCCTCTGGTTTTTATATTGTGGAAAAGGTGAAATAACCCTCATGATTTTATAGACCTCTATCACATACCCTCTTAATTGTCTCTTTTGTAAACTGAACACCCTAATCTTTTTAGTCTCTCCTTGTATGGAAGCCATTCCATGCCTTTGATCATCTTTGTTGCCCCTTTTCTGAATCTTTTCCAGTTCCACTATATCTTTTTTGAAATGGGGCAACCAGAACTGGCCACTGTATGCCAGGTGTGGGTGCATCATAGATTTATATAGTGGCATTATAATATTTTCTGTCCCTCTCCTAATAGTTCCTGGAATTCTGTTAGCTTTTTTGACTGCTGCTGCGCACTGAATGGAAATTTTCAGAGAACTATCCATGATCTTTCTTGAGTGGTATCAGCTAATTTAGAACCCATTGTTATATATGTGTAGATGCAATTATTTTTTCCAATGTACATTACTTTGCGCTTATCAGTGTTGAATTTCATCTGCCATTTTGTTGCCCAATGACCCAGTTTTTTGATATCCCACAGTAATTCTTTGCAGTCAGCTTTGGACTTAGTTATCTTGAATAATTTTGTATTGTTTGCAAACTTTGCCACTTCATTGTCTGACCCTTTTCCAGATCATTAATGAATATGCTGAACAGCACAGATCCCTGGGGGATTCCACTGTTTACCTCTTCCCATTGTGAAAACTGACCATTTATTCCTACCCTTTGTTTCCTATCTTTTAACCAGTTACTGATCCACAAGAGGATCTTCCCTGTTATCCCAGGACTACTTAGTTTCCTTTAGAGCCTTTGGCGAGAGACTTTGTCAAAGGCTTTCTGAAAATCCAAGTATGCTATATCAGCTGGATCACCCTTGTCTACATGCTTGTTGACACCCTCAGAGAATTCTAACAGATTGGTGAGGCATGATTTCCCTTTACAAAAGCTATGTTGTCTCTTTCCCAACACATTGTGTTCATCTATGAGTCTGATAATTCTGTTCTTCACTATAGTTTCTACCAATATGCCTAGTACTGAAGTTAGGCTTACTGGCCTGTAATTGCCAGGATCACCTTGAGAGCCCCTTTTAAAAAATTGGGGTTACCTTAGCTATCTTCCAGTCATCTGGTCCAGAGGCTTGTTTTAGTGATAGGTTATGTACTACCATTAGTAGTTCTGCGATTTCATATTTGAGTTCCAAATTTTAAGGGATGCCTTTTTGCCCCTAACTGCCTCCATTACTTTGCTGCTTAACAGGGTGGTATTCTTTTGGTCTCTGTCTGTCTTTTCTAATTTGGGTTATACATTTAGTCTGAGCCTCTATTATGGTGCATTTGAGTAATCCCCATGCTGCTTGCAAGCTTTTAATCCTTGTGATAGGTCCTCTTAATTTCTGTCTAACAAGCATCCTCATTGGGCTCCCCTTTTTAAAGTTAAATGTTACCATGGTGGGTTTTTTATCACCTCTACAAGGATGTTAATTTTAATGATCTAATAGTTGCTATTATCGAACAGTTCAGCTATGGTCACCTCTTGGACCAGCTCCTGTGCTCCACTGAGGACTAAATAAAGAATTGCCTCTCTGCTTGTAGGTTCCAGGGCTAGCTGTAGCAACAAGCAGTCATTTATGGGATCTAGAAATTTTACCTCTGCATCCTTTCTTGAAGTGACACGTACCCAGTCAATATGGAGATCATTTAAATCCTCCATTATTATTGAGCTTTCTGCTTTTGTAGCCTCGCTACCCTCCTGTAGCATTTCACAATCTCCATCACCATCCTGGTCAATGGTCAGTAGTATTTTCCTTCTGCTGTACTCTTATTGTTCAAGCATGGAATTTCTAGCTATAGAGATTCTATGTTACAGTTTGTTTCATTTAATATTTTACCTTATTTGACTCTGTGCTTTCTTTTACATATACTCCCCACCAGTGTGACCAACTTTGACAGTCCTGTATATTTTGTATCCTGGTATTACCATGTCCCATTGATTATCCTCATTCTCCCATTCCTGTTTCTGTGTAACAGAGCTATCTGGGAGTTCTAGTTGGGACGTTATGGGGAGCAAGAGCTTGAGACAGGATTTAGAGTGGGCATCATAGCAGAAAGAAAACAAGCTGTTAAAACAGACTTTCAAGCCTGTCATGCTGGCTAAAGGAAATACCGAAGTCAGACAGAGAAGTCATTTGGTCAGTAATCTTACTGTGATATCATACCATAAAATCATGACATCATTACATAGGTAGTTTTCTAGGAGTTTCCAAAATAGTATTGGTTAGCACTTTCCTCTCCCTCTCAGGCCTGTGCACTAGGATGTATGGCACAAGGGGAGCCTGGCTTTACAGGGGGAAGGATATGAAAAATATAGTATCAATAAAATGTTTAAGAACTCAGTAAAAACATTTCTACAGTAGTTTTCTGTGAAATATTTGGCATATGCAGAAATCATGATGGTGTGGTATAAAACGGTTTTACTGACACTTAATTTGGGTTGACCTATTAAGTTACATGTGGCTTCACCACTTTGGTAATTTTGGGTATATCTACACTGGAAAACGCCCACCCCCCCCCCACCAGCCTGTGGCACTGAGTCTCCGCACTGGGCCTACAGACTTGTGCTATGGCACTAAAAATAGCAGTGTACATGTTCTCACGTGGAGTGGAGTTCAGACTGAGACCCACCTCCCTTGCTGAGTTTCAGAGCCCAAACTCCAGCCTGAGCAGGACTGTCTATGCTGCTATTTTGAGTGCTGTTGCCTGAGCCAAAGTCCGTACACCTGGATTCTGAGATTTTCTGCCATGGGTGTGGTGGTTTTTTGCAGTGTAGATGTACCCTTGGCTACCTCAGACTTATGCCAGTAAAACCATTATACATACTTATAACCTTCATACATGCGCACCCACACTGCTCATGCTTAAAACTGACTTGTTTAGATAACTATATAATGTCATCTCAGTATTTGCAATGTTTCATAGGTATTTTTAATACTGGGGAATGCTGCAAATACTGAGGTAGAATTGTTTCATTATCTTTCTCGAAAGTTTTTATGTGCAACCACTTGCATCTGAAGAAGTGAGGTTCTTACCCACGAAAGCTTATGCTCCCAGTACTTCTGTTAGTCTCAAAGGTGCCACAGGACCCTCTGTTGATTGTGTGTAGGTGTTTGTCTGGATTTATGTCTACCTACATAAACGATCATCTCCTTGCCTATGTCCTCCAATGCCAAAAGTTAAATTGTATTAAATGCTGTTAAACAATAATACTTTGTGTTTATTATTGTGTAGCATCTTTCACCCAAGCATCTCGCGCCACTTCACAATAGTTTAATGCATTAAGCTTCACAACCCCACTACGATGTAAGTAAGCATTATCATCTCCAGTAATAATGGCTAAACTGAGTCCCCCAGCAGTTAAACACTGTCCACTTGACTGTCTTCAGTGCAAAAGAGTGTGTGTTTAGTGTGCTCTCTCTCTCTCTTTGTAAAATTTTAGTTTTACCTCTGTGTAGTTAGTCAAGGGCAACCCCAGGTAGGAGGTGAAGTGTTGAGTTTGACTGGCTACATTGAGATAAAAATTACCCGTGCCTTGTCTAGACTAGGATTTTACACAGTTAGCTCTATCTTGATGAAAAATCACCCCCCTTTTTTTTTTGCAGTGAAGATGTAGCCAGTGGAACTGAACCCTGGAATTTTGATTTGCAGATGCTAGCTTTAACCGCTGAGCCAATGTACATAATAGGTGACTGAGCAAAAATCGGATACTTGCTGAGTATAAAATCAGTGTAAAAAATAATGAAACAAAGTTATAATGAATGCTTTTTTTTTTCCAGCTTAATCCACACTATCCAGATGGGAATACTGAAGGAAAGGTCATGGTACGTGGAATGTTTTCTTTAAATGTACTGCAGGATATTTTGTTGTATTATCAATCTAATATAAAGTATCAGCCCCGGGTGCAAGGGATATTTTTGTTTTACTTACATATAAAACGCACATTATTCAGACTCTTGGTGTCTCATTGTAGCCCATCAGGGTACTGGCAGGTGTAATTCATTAATGTTCGTAAAGTGCTTTGAAATCTTTGGGTGGAAAGTCCTATAGAACTGCGAAGTGGTGGTGGTGGTATTTGCCTATTCACCTTTTCCTATAAGGCCAAAACATTTTCAATTCTCCGTAAAGCAGGAGAAGGAAAGGGAAAAAGAAGAGGGTCACAGAGTATTGAAAAGGTTATAGCAGCACTTTTGATTACCATAGCCTCTATTAGAGTAGATTTCCTGCTGCTTTGAATTCTGCTACCACCAAGCTTGGGCTCTCTCATCTACTGTAGAAACAAAAGCACAACTAAGAATTATTTGTTAGGAAAAGTTTTTTCTCTTACTTAATAAAAATGTGTTTGGTTTCAGATGGCAAATGGAACACTGACACCTCTATACTAGATTGGGGACTGAGTTGTTCAGGGATTGGTAACGGGCTAGGGTGTCTTTCATGTCTAAGTTACTTGGTTGAAGCCGGTGTCATATCGGCATGTACCAGCTGGTAATTGGTATTAACCAGTTGATATTGCCTGGTGGTTACATATGTGACATTAATTGGTTGTCTTAATTCTTCTCAAAGTAGACAGATTTCCACATTGCCCTTTAGCACTGGGCTCTTCAGCAAAGAGACCAAGGACAAAATAAACTTGGTTATTTGTTGAGTTCTGAATCTGTGCTTAGAGCTGTACAGGTCATAGAGCAGACAAAGTCTCGGTCCAAAAGGAGCTGACAGCCTAAGGTCTGACTCTCAAACATTTAATCCAGTGCATGACACGTACTGGCAAAGTCAGTGGGGCTTTTCATAGCAGTAAGTGTTACTCCCAAATGTATGTGTTTTCAGGGTTGGACCCTTATAAAGAAGCTTATAAGCTAATACATGGAGCAATGAGACTGAGCTACCCTAGCATCCCTAGAGATTTTCTTCAGATCACAGTAAAGGCACAATAGAGTGTGTAAACGCTTTGGCTTACAGATCCTACCTCATCCAAAGCAGAGCATATAGACGCCGTGGGTATGTCTACACTACAATCAAAAACCTGTGACTGACCGTGCCAGCTGAGCTAAGGGGCTGTTTAATGAAGTGTAGACACTCGGGCTGGTGTCTGGGCTCTAGGATTGGCAGGGTAGGAGGGTCCCAGGGGTTGGGCTGCTGCTCAAGCCCGAACATCCACACCGCAATTAAACAGCCCCTTAGCCCAAGCTCTGTGAACCTGAGTCAGTTGACACGGGCCAGCTGCAGGTTTTTAATTGCAGTGTAGACATACCCTCTGTGGCCTAGTCTTGCCTAGGATTTAAAGATGTGATAGATCATGTTAGCTAGCTTGATGTAACTCACAACTTCTAAAACTCTCTAGTCACGGCAAGGCAAGTTGTATGTTAGCACATGCTAAGGTGGTTGAGTTAAAGCCTATTGGGAATCTATTACCAACCAATCCAAGTGTTCAAAATAGTCAGTCAGTCCTGTCTCGCTCACCGGCCACAAATTATGAGACTGACTTAAAAACCACAAGGTTTTAAAAAATAAATATGGGGACCTTTTTATTTGCCTCTTGTTTTTTAAGCCTTTAGGGAACTCGTTTTCAAGCTTTTCTCTGTGCTAAAAACTTTTAAAAATGATTGCTGAGGTTCTGACATAATCACATGACTCCAGGAGTTGGAGCTTTAATAAAAATGCTCAATGCTGTGAGGATTGACAACACACTTCCTGATGTATGGCTTTATTGGTAACTCAGCAATACTAACTCAACATAAACTTCAACCTAGTCACTCCTAGGATTTCCTTCCAGGACCTCCTCTGTCCTAGTTACCTCTGGGTCCTCCTTTCCTTTATATCCAGGTTGGAGCTAGTTGGCCCCATCTGCTAGCATGATTCAGCAATAACTACTTTGAATCTTAGTGCAAGCAACTGAAGCTAGTGTTTCTTAACAGAAGAACTGTGCATTCTTATGCAGTTTTCCATTCTGCTATCCAGTTACACTGTGGCAGTATTGGAACTCATGATTTTATCCTGAGTCTTGTGATAATTAGTGTTTTTTTTCAAAGCCACAACTCCTGCAGCTGAGAATCTTGCTTTTTTTTTTTTTTTAAGTATCTATTTCTAGCCCTCATGGTTGTGGAGAAAAGTCTGTATATGTGAACCAAGTGCACCCTAAAGGCACAGAAACCTAGAAGTCTAATAAAAAGAACTCAAATTTTTTTTAAACAGCTCATGATTTTTAAGCCAAACGTATTACTTTTTTGGGCTTGGCTCATGATTTTTGAGTGCTTACCATTGACAAAGTTGGCATGGGGAAGCCTGTTCTGTTGCTTCCCAGGCTGTAGCTTCTAAGGTAAAATAAAGTTAGAGGTCTATGGTCTGCAGGTTTGTCAGTTTGGAAGCTTTTTCCAATGTATATAAAAAACAAACCAGAAGTAACTCACTCATCCCTCCATGCAATATTGGGGTTCATTTTCCAGTGCTCTAATAATTAGAGCTCTGCGCTGGTGACAAACAAGCACCCTATTTGCAAGTTAGGCACCCCAATTTCATTGGATTTCAATGGGGAATGGGGCACTTAATTCTCTTTGGATAAAATTTTCAAAGTGCCTAAGTGACTTAGGAGTCTTAAGTTCCATTTTTCAAAAGTGAATCTGACACTTAGGAGTCTCAATATTACAAATATATTACAAATCAATAAGATTTAGGCTCTTAAGGGCCTAATTCACTTTTTAAAAAGGGAGTTGAGTCACTTTGTCTCTTTTTTAAAAATGTTACCTTTAGGCTCTTTTGAAAATCCTGCAAAATTGCCTAGTGAAGAAGAGTTTTAAAAATCCCGTTTTGGTTTCTGGTAATATTTGGCCTTACAATGAATAGGTCAATACACTTGTTACATATTTTTCCCCTCCAAAGCCCAAGAGACTATGTAACATGAAGGTCTTCCTGTAATTTAGAAGCCTTTATTAAATGCTGCCTTCTCCAGCTTTTGAAGATTGGAAGGTTATAATGTATAGTGCATCAAAAAGTCAGCGCTGTATGTTGCAGCTCCCATTTAAATTCAGTATTGGTGTATTATGCTGCAAAGAAGTCTATTATTTCCAATCACACAAATGTACAGCATCCACAGGGACACCATAAACATTGGGAAAATGTCAAGAACAGCTGGGAACCTGGGATTCATTAATTCCTTTCCCTTAAAAGGCTGCCGCCTTTGGAAGGGTAAACTAACTCCCTCACAAATGAATCTTTGTGAGATAGCACTAACCCTAAGTATTTCCAAACTGGCGTTTACTGTTGTTGTGATTTCTTGGAGGTGATTAATATTTATTTATTTTTGCTTGAATAAATAGGGCATTTCTGCCATGGAACCAAAAGGCCAGATCCTCAACTTGTGTAGTTTGGCATAGCTCCATGGAGTTCAATGGAGTTATGCTTTACACCAGCTGAGGATCTGACCCAGTGAGTGTTTTCTTTCATATATAATTCCCAGGTGGAATTTTTTAAAAATACTGTGTCTCTAAAGGCTTTTTTCTTTTGGCTTCCAGCAACTGAGCTTGTTTAAAAAAAAATACTCTCAATTAAAATTTCATTATGTGTAATGCAAGTCATCTGGTTTAAACAAGTGGAGCAGTATTTTAAAAGGCTCAGCTAGGAATTAATTTGGTAATAAATAATCCAAAAAGCACAATTTAAAAATAAGTGTCTTTAGCTTTAAAATGGTAGTGTTTCTGTGCTTCTATAAAGCCGGCAGTCAGACCACTTGAGAGGCTCTGCACTTGCAGTGAGAGAGAGAGAGACACACACACACACACGGATGCTGGCACTTTATTATTATTCTGCTGTTGCACACAGGTCTGAATCAGCTCTGAAAACGCATACATTGTTTCTTACAGAATGTCTCTGGCTCCTAACAACAGAATTGCAACGTGATGTCTCTGCTAAAAATGGGATGACTCACAAATGAGTCAATAGGGAAGGTGTTATAGGAGGCTAACTGCCGTGCTGTCTGCCAGGGTTCAGTAAAATGCAGGAGCCAAGGGTGGCCATTAATTTACTCTACTCATTTTTCATATAGAATTTTTTAACTCCTCTAACCTAAAGAGTTCTGTTCACATTACTGCCATATGAAAATGCTGGTTTTATAAGAGCCTACTAAACTGGGTTAACATATTGAGATACTACATTGTACTGGATTTAACAGGCATTTTCAGAAGTCTGGCCGTTAAATTTAATTTCTACTGAAGTCTGTAGAGTATTCATACAGGAATAGGGCATTATCCCTGTCTTTCTCTATGCCACAGGAGGTGGATTTACCCATTGGAATTGTAGATTGGGTTTGCATTCTAAAAGAAAAGATCTTCCAGGTCTGTTGCATTTTTGCACTGTTCTGTGCAGTTAAAATGAATGCTGCTCCATAAGTGAAGCCACATGCAGGTCTCCTGAATTTTAGGTATAAAAGACGCTGGGGGTAGAATGTAGTGGAATAGTGAGGTCTTCTGAGATCTGTGGTGGTGCATAGTTACTAGCAAACTGTGCTAGTGGCTGTGAAGTAAAGGAGTCTAGTGGGCACTTGGAAATATCCAGGTATTGGGAAGGAGAAGTCTGATTTTGCCTGATTTATGTTACCTCTGGTTGGACTATAGTATTTGGCTCCAATTACATTAAATTTCTGTTTCACAACATAAACATTACATGTTTTAGAAAATTCCTTCCTATGTAATGTGTTAAACCAATGGCAGTAATCCAGTAGCTATGAGATTTTCTGTATTTTATATATAATCTACTGTAACTGGTTTAAAAAATATGCATAGTGAGCTGAAATTTACAAGTCATCGAGATTTTGTGCTGATGCTTTTTTTCAGATTGCATGCATTACAGTGTTATCCTTTGGTTAGGAGAACCGACTCCAGAAAGCTCATTGCCATCCATGACCACCTCATCTGTCACTCCTCCAATCTCGCTGTACTCAATGAAACTTGGACCCCCTGAAATGCTGCCTCTGCACCCACTCTCTCTTCTCACACACCTCACCCCATGACTTTAAAAACAAACACATAAACAAAGATTCCCTAGCAAGGGTGTTAGGCTTTTCTTCTTCCACATTTGCTGCTTCCATTCCCTCCCTTTGCCCACTCACTGTCCTCCATTGAATGGTACACCAACTGGATCCCCTTTCCCCTCCCCATCTACGTAGCTAACTCTGACCACTCCTACTAGTGCCTCTTGGAGTATTCTCTATATTCCCACACATCCAGACTGCCACTTTTTCTTTTCTAAGGGCAGGTCTACACTACAGCTGGGATCAACGCTCTGAGATCGATCCACCGGCGGTCATTTAGCGGGTCTAGTAAAGACCCGCCAAATCGACTGCCGATCGTTCTTCAGTTGACCCCTGTACTCTACCCCCGATGAGAAGAGTAAGGTAAATCAACAGGAGAGTTTCTCCCGTTGGCCCCCCATGGTGTAGACCCTGCAGTAACTCGACCTAAGGTACATCGACACCAGCTACGTTATTCATGTAGCTGGAGTTGCATAGCATAGGTCGACTTACCGCGGTAGTGTAGACATAGCCTAAGGTCCACCCTTTTCCTTTTTCTCCAGAGACCTAAAACTCTGGTCCAGGTTCTTGTCATTTTATGTCTTCATTATTATAATCTCTTCCTCCCTACCCTCCTTACCACCCACATCACCTCCCTCCAATCCATTCAAAGCAGAGATGCAGAGATCATCTTCCTTACCTGCCCCTCTGACCATATCACTACCCTCTCTGCATCCCATCTTTGTCTCCCTCTTCTCACTGCATCTAGATCAAGCTTCATGTCCTCACCTTGAAGGCCCTTCACAATTCTGCCCCTCCCTACCTGTCCACTTGTCTTTCATTCCAGTGATGGTCACTTCATTCACTTATTTGCCAATTTCTCACATGTACAAACCAATAAAATGCCTTCTTCCATGCTGCCCCTTTTGCACGAAATGCCCTTTCTGCACTGATCGATAAAACTGACAACACAATAGGCACTGGATGCCCTGGAAGAAAGTGCAGCTACAGCAGGATTTCTGCTTCTCTCCCTTGTTTAAAGCAATGGGATGGAGTGTTAGTATTTTCAGGCTTGATAGAAGAAGTGAATATTGTGCAAGGATTTGAAAAGTTTATTCTCCACTGGGCTATGAAGGGGAACTAGTTTTATCAGATCTGGTGAAATTCATTGCTAATTGTGATGGGTAATCAACAGGCAGTATCAGTAATCAAAGCACCACCCTGATTATCTCTTGCTGTATAGGTCTTATCAAACAGCTAATGCAAAGCAAGTGTATCCTTTTTATATTGCTTAGCACATTCCTTGGTTAGTGACACACTAGAAATCACGTTAATCACATTTCAG